TGTGTGATTTTGTGTGTGATTTGAATAATTGTATATTTGTATATTTGTATATTTTATGCACCAACTGCACCAGGTCATATTGCTCGTAGGCATAAAAACCTACTTGGCAATAAACAAAATTCTGATTTTGATTCTGATATATATTTATAAAAGTTGACAGACACAGGAAGGCCTAAAGTTGACATTATATAAAATGTAATTTGGTTTATTAGTTAACCAGTTTAAAGACTGAACAAAAAGCTTATATTTATATATATATATATATAAAGATATAACTCTACTTTATTATTGATAAAGCTGTATAAGTTATATCGGAAGCCCGGTGTGCCGCAGGGAGCCTTTAAATTCACCTTTCTCCTAATGGAATTTGGCTTTATTGGATCTGGCTCTTTCACTGAAACTCTGCATCCAAATCACATTTTAGGCTGATTTCTATCTCTGATTCACTCAAATGAAAAACAGAGCATTAGATGGAAAAGATGATATTTTATTTACACACGAGCTATTTGGTGAATTTCATCCACCCGAATTATAGAGTGAATCCAATCTCTCTAAAGACTGTAATTAATAATGTCTGAAGCGGTTTGTAGCTGAGGAGAAACACATGAAAGTCTTAAATTCGCAGTTATAAAATGGAATTGGGCTTTAATGGAAAACGAGGCGGATGAACTGTTGAGAATGTTACATAAAAGTCAAATGTACTGATACACGAGGAAGCCTTAAATTGACAGTTTTTTAAACGGAGTTCGGCTCTTTTGGATCTTACTGCGTGAAACCAGCGCGCTCCAGCTTCAAAACGGCTCTGTATTATATTCATTTTATTAAATGTTATTAATTGTATAACCCGAATTAAAGAGTGAATCCAATCGCTCTAAAAACGGTAATTAATCATATCTGAAGCGGTTTGTAACTGAGGAGAAACACGTTTTTCAAATGGAATTTGGCTTCAATGAAAAACGAGCCGGACGCGGACAAACTGCTGAGATTGTTACATAAAAGTCAAACATCGTCTAACCAGTGCAGCAACTGAGCAGAGACACATGGAGCCTTAAATCGACCGTTTCCTAAACGGAGTTCGGCTCTTTTAGATATTGTGTAATTGCGTAAAACCAGCGCGCTCCAGCTCCACCGGGGTTCTGCCCGAACCCTAACCCCGGATTTTAAACTCAGTTCGGGTTGTTTGTGTCTGTGACTGTGGGGGAATCCCGGTTTATAATAATTAATAAGAGTTCAGTATTGTGACAGAATCTGCGTATCAAAGCAGAACAACGGAGTTCGGCTGTAATGGATCCGGTTCGGCTCGGATCCCGTGGACCCGCATACTTACATCCAGCTGGCTCTGCAGCACAGCGGGCACACTGAGACCAGCAGCAGAGTCAGAGTGCACATGTGTCGGACTCCCCAGCTCCGTCTCTCCATGACCTCCTCATCGATCTGCGCCGCCGGGCTGCGCTCTCGGTCTGTCCATCAGCAGGACTCTCTGGCTCATACTAAAACCCGGTCCAGGAGCACATTCATTAATCCAGTTCTGGGCGCACCCTCCGTCCCCGCTGTCCCGCTCGATGAGTCCCCCCTGGAGGACCTCGTTCAGCTTCCAGTCCACTTTGTGTTCTGCGGGAGGAGAAGCAGGACCGGGTGGACCAGTCTGAGTTCCGGAGGATCCTCATTGGACCAGCACAGGATTCATATTCAGCAGCTGACATCACAGCTGGACGCTAATTGGACGGACCGGAAGATAAAAGGACAGACTGACACTGGATCCCAAAGAGTCATATTTTCAGTCCAGAACTTTAAAATGTTCGATTTGTGAATGAGGTTTGGTGTAAAAGGTTCGGTTGATCAGAACATAGTGGTCAAAACAAGGACCCCAAACACCCACCAAACTCCATTCAAATAAATCTTAATTTAACACTGTCGGGATATTTAAAAATACACATTATACCATATGGTAAAACCACAACGCAGACATTTTCTAAAATAACTGGTAAACTCTACGACGATATTACAATTGATCTGTGGTTATTACAAAATAGATTCAGACATCTTCTTCAAGGCAGTGAGAGATTAGAAAACTCTTAACTAATTAATTTTTGAATGGAGTTTGGTGTAAGGGTTCGGTTGATCAGAACAGAACACATCCCGAAGTGGCCAAAACCAAATATCACACCAAACTCCATTCAAATGTTTAATTTAATACTATCAAAAATGTTCACTTAGTGTAAGAAAAGACAAAGAAAATATATATTTTGGCCATTTAAAAAAACAACTTGTTTCCAAGTTCTAGAAACAATTTTAAGTGAATCAGATGAAAAAGAGTTGTTATGTTTGGTTTTCCTGACTGAACTTTCTTCTTATTTTATCTTCAACAAAACCAAAAAACGCACCTGATAACGACGAGTGAGTTCAGACATGAAGACACGAAGGAATCAGCTGATAAAAACAGTTTTATGATACAAACAACTTTATGGCAAAGATATATTAAAATGTATAAAGACACAATTTACACAGCTGTTAAAATAAATTTGAATTTCTGAAAGTTTAAGTAGAAAAACTGATTTTGAATTGAAAATATTTTTTAAACATTCATGGAATAAACAGAAGGAAAGTCGAGAGTTAAAAAAAAAAGATTTCATGTCTTCACAGTTGGATTTGTTTCTGATAAATTGTGTTTGTGTCTTTTTGCTTTCTGGTAAACAGTTTCATATTTTAAAGAACAGAGGAGAATCATAACATTTGTATAAATATTCATATATTCTATTTTCCAGCATGTAAACATGTTTAGAGATAAAAGGCACAATATACATCTGTAGAAAAATATAGAAAATATAAGCAGAGAATCAAATAAGACGTTTCTGTCACGTGATAAACGCAGTTATCATCGAGTCTTTGGTGTCGAATATTATCTGATATACACAATAAAGTCAATGACTGAGGTATATAAATATAAATATATGTGGAGGAGAGCAGAACCACATCAGACCGATACTCATGGTTACATACGAGATATTAACTTCTGACCACAGAAAAAACTAGCTGGTGTGTGCTAGAAGCTAATTAGTACACATCAGTTAGCAAGTATATAAACTAGCTACTTTAATTAGCTGGACATAAACTAGTTATTACGCATAAGAAAGAAACTGGTACACATTAATAACCAGCTAGTGCTCACTAGAGCTGAGCTGGTAGCTGGTGCACTTTAGAAACCAGCTGACTGGCAGTAAAACGTAGTCGCTGCGTTTGAACTCGTTTGCATCAGTAACCATCAGGCGCTCATTAGAAAGCAGTCGGTGCAGAATCACAATGAAAAGCTTCTGAAAAGAAAACAGTTTCTGTTGGTTATGATGACAAAATATTAGAAACTATTTCAGGCACTTTTGGTGATTTTCTGTCTCTTAATGTTTCCACCTTATTGGACCTTCAGCTCTGGAAGTTTGTTTCTGTCCCTTTAAGAGTTTGTTTTATGTTGAAAATAATTAACGTACAGTCACGCCTCCGAGTCCTCCTGCTGGAAAACAACAAAGTGGAAAATCTTTTTACTTGTTCAGGTATGAAAACTCTCTCAGCTTTAGTTTCTGGTTTTGGGACACAGGCGACTCAGCAGGATCTCAGAGTACACCTGGTTCACTGGTCCTCTCACGTGATAGGACAAGGCTTTAGGCCACGCCCCCTGGTCCGTGTCCGGCACGGTTGATTGGCTGCTGAGTCCGGGTCCGGCTCTGGTGGATCCGGTTCCGTTGGTTGTGGATGTCATGTCGTCTGAAAACTTGGAGGACCAAAACTTCTCCACCTGTGAGCGCAGAAGAAGTTTTAATAATATTTGTTAACAAGGTTAAAAATCATGAGATGAAAGCTGGGTTTTCATTGGCTGACAGCTGACAGGTCTAAATCTGGACTTTAGATAGTTTCTGTCGCTGTTTTAGTCACATTTTCAATTTACAGGTAGAAATAAGTTTTTTGAATATATATATATATATATTGTATAGAGTTCTGTATCGTCTGCATAAAGTGACATTTGACATCATGCTGACTAATAATGTTTCCAAGAGGGGACAAATACATAATAATAAAGGACCCAGAACGTGTCATGAGGAACACCATGACAGGCTTCCTCAGTGTTCCTACCCTTTTAAGAAATCATTTTAAAGAACATTTTTTTACACAAACTCGCTTTCATGCTGTTCTCACTCACTGTGATTCGACTAGTTTACTAATGTTTTACTTTAATCTAGGTTTACAAAGGTGATCTAAGGGAGCAGCTAAAATACATTAAAAAATATTCCAGGACAACATATATTATTTCCAGGTTATCAATATTAAATAATGAAACCTGAGCCACATTAGAATGAGATCTAGCATCAGTAATTTAAAGCTCCTACAAGAAACCTTTATTTAGTGTAGATTATGGCGCCCCCTGTGGGCAACAGTGGCAATGTTTCTACCGCCTAATTTTATTGATTTCAAGGGGAATCCAATGTTCTCTGTTTATAGGTCATATAAAAGCTTCAGTATTAAACTGAGACTGTTTCATAACCAATGTAAAAAAAAAGATCTGATGTAAAAAAAAGTTGCGAAAACTTCATTAGATCTTTGACTTTTAAGTCAAATATCAAACGTTTTTAAATAAACTAATAATTAATGAGAACAATTAGAACAACTTAACTCTTTACTTAAATATTTTCAATTGCAACCATTTAATTTCCAAGCACCCAAATAATGAAAAATCAATTAACAATTTTAGAAATACACATTTCTTTGTTTATAAAACTCAAAGATTTATGTTTTTCTCAAGAAGAAAGTAAATTAAAGTAGAATATAATTTGGCATAACCTTATAGTTTATTACAAAACAAAAAAATTAGAATTTGACTTAAAACTTAAAAATTATGAGTTTTCTGAACTTCTGTTTGTGTCGTATCTGCAGCAGCTGTAACAAGTGAATTGCTTATCTTGAGCTTTGATCTGTTTATATCTGTTATACTACTACTACTAAAAATAATAATAACAACAATTATAATAGAGGACCAAAAAGGGAGTTTGTTGTTGTTTTCAAACTATTATAGAACATATGAAAGATAATGAAGTTATCTGGACTTAATAAAACTCATCTTTTGGATTTGACTCTTAATCTTACAGTTGGTGTCTGGAAGAAGTCTATTTTGAAATGTGAGGTGTTTGCAACAATCTTCAAACAAACATTTTTTAATCCTAAAACTAAAGCAGAAGTTAAATTATAATCTAGTGAAATATCTCCCAGAATGCAACAGAAATATTTCTGCTGCTTTGGGCTCAGACGTGTTTTAAAAGTGTTGAACATCCAGATGTTCAGAAACCACAACAGCTGCTCTCAGTGTGCTTTTTATGAAGCAGTAAAAGTTGCTCTAATTGGTAATTACACATTCACTCCCTCACAGGCTGATCTGATGTGACAACACAAAGCACATTTCTAACAGGAAGTGGAAGCGGTGAGTGTTTACTTCTAGAAAGCTCTAATTTCCTCCGTGATCACAAACTGATGATTTCATTTTATTTGTTTCATTAGTTCAAACTTTTGGGACGATCATCAAACCGACTTTAGGCTGTAAATGTGGTCTGTGGTGCTGCGTCACTGCAGCAATAAATGATTTTAAAAAAAAATAATTACATTTGTAATTCGTCTTTAAACATATAAATCACATTTCCAGATTTATTTGATTGTTTTATTTTGTTATTCCTGTTGACAGCTGGAGGAGAAGAAACTCTCAGCTGTTCCTGTCAAACTGGTAGATAGATAGATAGATACTTTATTGATCCCCAGGGGGAAATTAAGGAGGTTGAAGAGGAGCGAGAGTTCAACCTTGAGGACTGTTTAGGGTGGTTCCTAACCTTTTTACTTAAGTGTGCCCTTTTCTATCAGAATGACGCCTGCTGACTTTATAAAACAGCCGATGAGCTGGACAATGAACCAAACAGTGAACAACAACTGCAGGACGTTTGTGGAAAACCAGAGATGATTTTTTTATACATTTTATATAATTCTCTTTCTGTGTTGTTTTTTAACAATCATACAGACTTTACTGGCTGCTTTTTCACCAGTTCACCGTTTTCTTCTCCCTGATACGAGGTCATTGTCCTCATACAGCTCGTGTTCAGATCTAATATAATCAAGAAGGCCTTACGATCGCCTGTGAAGTTTTGGCGACCCCTAGTGGGAGTCGCGACCTCCAGGTTGGGACCCAGTGGTTTAATGGATCAATACAAATATTGATAACTGATCTGTGTTACCTCATGAAAGTGGCAGGCACATCGTCCCTGCAGGAACTCTTTGTATCGGCCCATCGTGATGCCGAATGTGTCGATCACCTCGTACCCATAATGCTTTGCTGTGGTGATGATGTTACGGTTCTCTCTGTAGAGCTCCTGGACCTCTTTCTGGAAGATCGACCACCAAACAAACAAACAAACAAACCGACAGATCCACATTAGGAGAGAGGTTCCTGTAAAGGAATCCACGTGGAGAACAAACAGAGTCGTACCAGACTGAGCGAGCGGATCCCGTCTACAGGAAGGTGGAAACCCATCCCCAAAGACTTCACCACCACTGCGATGTCGCTCAGAGACTCTCTGAGGAGGGAAAACATCTAGCTTTTATTTTTTATTCATAATTATTTTTTTTATTTTTTATTCACAAAAATGTGACATAAGGCAATAAACACAAAAAACACAATAATGTTCTCATGCTAACACGCTAACACAATGTTAAACGTGTTAGCATTGTCATTGTGCGTATGTTAGCATTCAGTCAGTGACGTGTCATCAGTGCACTGCAGATTCTCACCTGTCCAGCACCTCTCTGACCGTCCTCAGGTGATCAGTGTTGAGCCACTGGACTCCTCCCACCACCAGCACGGTCAGGTTAGAGTTCACCAGAGGTTGTGACCTTTGGGGAGGAAACTCATCACGCAACGATATGATAAAAAAAGCACGCGTGTGGGGAACTCACGCTGTGATGATCCTGGACGTAAACGTATGAAACTACCGTGAAAAACCATACCAAACGACTGTGACCTCACACTGTGACCTCAGCAGATCTCACCTGTGGAGCAGCTGCAGCAGCGCCTGTCTGAAGGTGGGTCTCTGGTTCTTCTCCAACCAGAACTGAGGATAATACGAGTAGCCGACCAGAGTTCGTCCTCCGTTCAGGTTCCTGTAGACCAGCGTGTCGTGAGCCTTCCCCCAGTCCTCCAGACTGGAGTTCACCCGCTCCATCAGGAAGTACATCATCCCGCGATTGGTCGAGTCGCCGATAAACAGCACCTGAGGACGGACAGGAACAGGTGATAGAAGTGACCTGATTCCACCAACCCACCGCTCCAGTTCGCTTTATTGATCTCACCTTCCTGTCCGTCATACAGTCCTGCAGCAGGGGGCGGTCCACTATCGGGTGGTAACAGCCGTCTGGTTGCCAGGCAACCTCCCTCCAATCACACGTCCTGTTGTCAGAACAGCTGAGACACGGAACCACCCACCGACCTGAGACAGGTGAGCAGTGACGTTCAATGGGACGGTTCTTTTACAGTCAGAGCTGCAGTCAGGATGTTGTTAGCGTAGCTTAGCATTAAAAAAGAGAGCTAAAAAACATAATTACATCTGAATCTCTGTCAGGTCAAACAGATCAATAACAAAACATTAAATTTGATAATCAATAGAATTTGTTTAGTTTGGACACAAACAGAAATGTTCTCTGTTGTAAATGTTTAGTTCAACTCAAAAAGAAAAAATACATATTTATGTACAAATAAAGTATATTTAATTATCATATAAATGTCAAATAAATATAATAAAATATAAATAATAACAATATAAAACGAAATATATTTGTATATAATGTAAAAGTGTTGATCTTCACAGGTGAGATACAGGAAGTGACATCAGACCTGGTACGTGTCCCGAGCTGCAGGTCTGAAGTGAACTCTGAGACTCGATGAAAGGCTGGAGACCGCAGGGCCGACCCGGCTGAACCAGCAGACCGCAGTCCTGAAACACACAGAGGCCAGAACAGGAAGGGGGTCAGGTCTCTGGACCTCCACTGAGACGTGGGAGCAGAAAAGGAATCAGTCTGAATCTGAAATATTAGTTTATTAAAGTTCTCTTGTTCCTGAACACTTGAAGAAAATAAATCCTGTTTCTTTAAGAACTTGTTTCAGCACAAACAGATGACTTGAGAGATTTCCCACAATGCAACAGGAGGACAGTGAGGTAGCAGCTCATCAGCGGCTCCACTCAAACATCTTCTTCTTCCTCTTCTCCTCTTTTGTCCACAGATCTCTGCCGACCCTCTCCCTCTCTCAGAGGTCAGAGGTCAGATAAACCTGACCGACTCGGCTCGGGGGCCCCGGGGGAGCCGCCACGTCTGGCCCCGACTTCAGAGCTGCCGCCGCTGTCACGCACACACACTCTTCTTCTTCTGCCGCCGCAGGTTTCGACGCAGCGGCGCCACATTCCGCACAGTGGCGTCGCAGCTCGCAACAAAGTGTGACAAGAAAACTTAACAGGGATTTTCTTGTTCGTACCTGAGCTCAGTGTAAACGCTCAAACAGACGGGACGCTGGTCTGAGAGCGGCCACCGCCCAGCGCCAAAACGCACCCACAGACAGCCACTGAGAAACGCCGCCGCCACCTTTCATCACACAACAAACGGCCATCTCAGAGCTCACTGCCACGTCGGCGGCGGGAAAGCTTTTGTTTTCCTGTTCGAGAGACTTAAAGAAATCTGTGCGTTTTATTTTGAAAAGAAAGAAAGAAAGAGAAGAAAAAGAACAAAGAAAAACAAACAGAGAAACCCTTCACGATCAGAGTCTGCGCGGTGCGTTTGCTCACAGTCAGGTCGAGGTGTTCGTGTGGATGCGGGTCGTGTGTACGGAGCGTCTCGTGTTCTAATGAGGGAGATCTCTTGGGAATAAAGAGAAATCTTGTGCATCTTGGGTATTGTGAAAGGAAAGAAGAAAAACACACAAATTATACAAATTAAACAACGTTTGCGGAAAACGTTTGGCGCCCCAGCATCAGATTTTGCGTGCTCTGTTTTCGAGGGTCAGTGAGATCGAGCGGTGTTGTGGCGTGGTGTAGAAAAATTGGTTTTAGGTTGTTGTTCTTTAGGATTAATTTGTGGTTCTGGGGTCCGGACTAATGAGGAACACGTTTAGAAATTGTATCCTGGTGTGTGTTTTGTTCGTGTTGATTTAAACACGTAAATCTCTAAAATCACGTAAAAGAGGGAATCTTTTCGCATGAACTTTCAGTGGTTAGGTGTATGCGGGTCATGGGGAGTAGGGCTTGATTCATCATGTATTGCTGTACAACACACAGAAGGACACAAAGCACATACGAAGGTACAAGCGGACGAATAACTTGTTCTATTGAGATAACATTCTGTTGACCTTCCTGTTTATAACTTGGGATTCATCGTGTAAGGGGGTTCATGACTGTGTTTTAAGATTCGGGGTTATTCCTTGAACAGATACAAAGCAAACAATAATGGATTCGTAATACTTCAAATAACATTGATATGTGTGGAGTTGTGGCTTGAGAAGTATAAAATTTTCACTCCATGTCATTGGGAAGGACCTTCTGGTGGGCCTGACTCTTAAGTTCTTAGTTTTACAGACTTCTAATTAAAAATTATGTTGCAATAAATTGAGGCCCACAGTTGAGTTCGGGGAATTAGGGCCTTTTTCCTCTAACAAAGACATTTATTTTAATCAATTTAAACCAATGTTTTTTAAGTTTATTAGACTACAAAGAATTATCCTTTGTTCAATCCCATGTTTTTTCCACATTATTTATGTCAACCACAACTTCTATAAAAAGTCTACTTCCAGGTATGTTGTATGGGTCCTAATTTTGATCTTTTTTAAGAACGCGCAGCTCAAAGAGGACTGGCTTTTACGTCATAACAATATAGAGACAGGCGGGTTATATGTTAATTGTAAACTTTACATAGATTAAACCGCATGGACGAAAAACCCTGGCTGAGTTGGATGTGCCTCAGTAAAAAGGGATGGATAAAACGGGATTATGACACCCATACCTCGCTTTACTGCAGCATTGTTAAGACTTCCTGTTAGTGGTAGGAATGTTTGGTTGGAGATTTGATAAAGTACTTCCTGAGAAGATTGTATATTGAGGAACAGCTGCTAGGTCCTATATTTCGTAAATTGTTTATGATGCCTCACGACCAGGCAGTAGTTATACCAGTAACAAATGGTAAGGTGTTTTCCTCTTTCCTTGATTTTTCTGTTTGTATTGAAGCGTGCAACATTCGTATATCATAATACAGCATA